GTTGTTATTTTCGTATCGACGTTCTCAACGAAGAGTGTCAAATTAAATTTTAAAAACTCACTTTATTATGGTGAACAAAAAAAGTTATCTGAAAATGTGTTCACTTACGACTACATCTTAAAAAATATTTTATTGATTGAACGAATTGTATTACTTTTGAACTTAAAAATATATTACATAAAAAATAGAATGAAAAAATATTTTCATCGTCGAATTTAGACTTCAACTTAATTATTAGAGATGATTTTATTATCTTTTAATTATTAAAGGCACGATACTAAACCCGCGTTTCATTCATAGTTATTTTTGACAGTGACAAAATATGCAACATAATAAAAATTGATCACTTGTAGCTGATATTATTTAAAAACTATATTACAAATATTTAACTCAAAAAGCCACAAAAAAACCTATTTCTGGAATAATATGGCCATTATCAACGCTGAACACATACTGACAGTATGTGTTTTANCAATGTTGCCATTATCAACGCTGAACACATACTGACAGTATGTGTTTTAATTTTAAAAAGTATGCAACACTTCTTATAATATATATACCAATCAACCTATTGGGGTAAACTCCCAGCCCCTTTGATATAAATTACATAACTTTTTACCGTTCATTGCATCAATGCTTTAGCCAGGGAGCTTTAGCCAACTGTCCTCTCCCACGAGACGACTTATTTTTGTACTAAATATGGTACATTACCGAAAATACATTTAATCTCAGTTTATTATTATGGTTTTTGAAATTTCAATTATGTTCGTCCGACTGACTCTTTGTATCAGACACATTCAATGAACATACAACATTCAAGTGAGATATTCAGAATACAACTGTATTGTTTTGTTGCGATCAAGACACGATTTTTCGCGGTTTTGCATCACTGTGTGTATACAGAGCGAAGGAAATTGACGACAAAATTACCGTTTAACAAACTTGTTGTCGTTGAGGAACAGGAGGGCAATGTTATTCCTCAATGGACAGCGGTTAAGTGGTCGTCGGAGGTCAAGCGCTGTGTTTGCCGTCATCTAAAATCGGCATGCGCCGAACACGTGTCGCAGGTAGTACATAATTTTTACTAGATACATCAACATAATGCAGGCTGTATACGTATGTATGGTATGTACATATATTGAGCTATATACGTATGTAATATATTATTACACGCTATATTTGATCATCTGAACGTGAGTCATCGGGTCGCCACCGCCGTTTTCCTCTTCCCCGTTCATCATCACATACTTGTATTCAGATAATATTGTGCAACTGTATGTGTGTGTGTGTTTTTATTTCAATTATTTGGATTACCGTCGTCTCCGCGGCAGCGGTGCTGACGGTGGTGTTATGGATGTGGCGGGTGATAGAGGAGGGTGCCAGACGCCGGGAGAGACAGACAGACTCCTGTCTCCTCCTCTCTACTCACCTCTTGCCATTTACCAGACCGTGAATTTATATAGGTCACCGACCTTGACCGATCACTTCATTATTACACTCATACGCACACTCGCACACATAAACGCACAAAGAGACGGTAAAACGTAAACAAAACGGCGATTTGTACGTTGAGCGAGAATACGGTGACGGCGGCAACGGCAAGTGTATGTGTTATATTATTGTGTATAATAAAGTATTACCACGTGTTACAATATCGCTTTGCTTCGATACCCTCGCACTCACCGCACAACCGAGTGTGGATAATGATTGTTGTACACAAGTGTTATATGATATCAATAACCACGTGCTCTGCTTCCATCACTCGGTGTATTAACACCTTAAGGGCGAAACGTTGAAATAAGGAACGGACAAAGTAAATTGCTCTATGAATGTTACACATTAGGTAGATCAAATTAAGGGGGCCGTATTCTTCAACCTCTCAAAACGTTTAACAAGTGTCGTTTCCAACATTACTACGAAAAGTTGGTAGTTGTATAGATATAAGATTGTTTAAAAGAATACTGGAATTATGATCACATTTGTATTCTACGTACAATTTAACAAGAGCACATCGAGTCAAAGGCCATGTAGGTACATATCTGACTAATCTGTCGAGCATTAAGCTCTTGTCGCTTGTGCCTTTTAGAAGGGAATATACTAAGTTGAGTTTATCTTGTTTGATTTGTTAAAGTCAAATAAACCTTACTTATATATTTATTATAACTTATATTGGAACAATATTTCAAGATTTCTTAAAGTCAGTAAAAACCGACATCTAAAAAATGTCAGTTTTTCTGACTTCTGTTTTAAATTAAATATTGTATTTATAAAGTGCAAATTATAGTGTATATCTGCCTGTAATAAGTAATAATAAGGTACTAGAAGGTATAAATAAAATATTTTGCCTTAAGTACTTCAAAAAGTTAAGTATCGAGAAATTTTTGTACAAATAACTATTTAAAATTACGTAGTAATTATTTTCAGGTCAATGTATTATTAATTTAATAGTTATTATGTAATGAAAACATTTTTCTTTTTGACACGCGTGTAGCGCAAAGCTTCAAAATTCCAAAACTTTATTTTAAATTATTACGATAATTAGTTTACAATATATTTTTATGGTATTAGAAAAAAAATGAATGGCTATAGCAACATTTATAAAACTGTGTGGTACATGATTTGTGTTATGAACATTTGAATTTAGAACTTCAGTATGTTAATAGAATTAACTTAGTTGGCGAAAGTGATTGATAAGAACGGTGGAAAGTTTAGAAGGCTCTGACACAAGTATTGACTGTCTAAGATAATATCTTTTTAGAGATTCAAATGAGAGTACATATGCATCCAATACGGAAATAGACCCCTGTCATTCTGAAATGATAACACTTATTTATTGAACTCTAGTTAACTATATACAAATGATTTGTTGATCAAGATTTAACATCAAATAAAATTTCTATTATCAACAATATAAAAAATTTTAACTGATATGAAAATTTGAATAATGAAAGTATTTTTAAAATTACATAAATAGTAACTATTATACACTGAAAAAGTCCTTTTAATACATTGCTGGCGCGATTACAAAAATTTATATTTGGGGTCATCGGGTTTTAATTTTTACGTCCTCTTAAAATCTCTTAAATTTTAATAATATTAATAAATATTAGTAGAGTTAAGTCCTAAGTCTATAATCGTTTTACTCATCTTAATAGGTAACCGAGTACTTATTACTAATAATGAGTTATTTCATAATAATAATAGTTTATTGATATTTAACTAACAATAATCACTTATAAATTGAATGCATTTTTTTATACATCACAATTTTTATTGCTTATAATAAAAATTATAAATTTAAAATGTATAAAATATCCTTGGGAAATGTATTTTAATAATTTAAAAATGATTGGCCATAATAATCAATCATTTTTATTATATTTATGTAATACAAAAACTATAATTATTTGATTATTTTATTTGTTTTGATTAAACAAATATTTTAAAGAACAAAATGTCAGGTTAAAATTTTAATTGGAAAAATTATTTGAAATTAAGTGCAAATTAAAAATACTAAAAAAAATATTATGTACATATATGTTAGGGGTTTTGCCATATTTAAATAAAAATACATCGTATTTATATTAACTTCATTAATCAATCATTAATTAGGCTTATAATGCCAATACCTACTTTATAATTGGAATTTTTTATACATATATTAACATGTAGCTCAATTTTAATTAATATGTTAGTAGATGAATTATGATTATTACCTTTAATTTATGTAAATCAAATAAAATATTAAACGATGCTTTTTCGTTTGCTCTTAATACTTATAAATTAGATTAATTCAATTATTAGATGGAACATAATAATTTAACGAGTATTAAATTAAAGAATATTAATTGAGCAAACAATCATTTAAAGCTTATTGTATTTTTCGTTTTAAAATTGTTTATATTTGAAAATAATCAAATTTTAAAACTTAATTAAAAGTTAATTATAAACATTTTTTTAAAATTTAATTTGAATCAGTATTTTAGGGCGCGTAAATTCATAAAAACCAGCTGATCAAAAGTGTCTTTTCGTTTGTTTTGTATGAAATTATTTAAAATTTCACTGCAAGGCGTAGATAAGCCCCATTTGTCGATTTTTTTAGCAGTATTATTGTTTTTCTACAATGTTTATAAATAAATTTGGTTTTTTATAAAGATTATTAATTGTATTCTTATTTTAGTTAAAATGACTGGATCATATTTATCCTGATATATATTTTATTTAATTAGTATTTAATGAAAATCTAAGGGATTCCTTGTAGATTAAAAATACGGCGATTAAGATACGGACAGTGTTGTTTGTCGTTATTCCCATTTAAAACTAATCAAACAATATAAGAGAAATAAAACAAATACGTATTCCATTGTCATTTATTGACCCGGACCATTCAATAAAATATTTAAAAATATATTTGAGTTGCGTATACATATTAGTATACTTTTAAAAGAAAAATCATAATGAAAATTTATTCCAGAATAAATGCGTTAGACAATGCACATATTTTGAGAACCCTTAAAACTATTCAATCGCTTGATATGTCTGTTAAGGGACATTTTACAAGAAGAAACAAATTGTGCATAAAAGCTGACCGTACGGCGATAAACCGGATGATTAGTTTTTCGTTTACGTATAAAATGCATAGGAAACGTACGGGTAGATGGAAAAGCCGAATACGGTTAGTCTATAGCGATAAACTCGAACGACGGCAGCAGCCGGCGATGGCAACAACGGCGGCCGATGTAGCGTAGTCGTATTTCCCCTATGCTGCGCACAAAGAACCCCGCGCGCACTCTCCGACCAGTCTGACTACAACACCGACCGTACCTCTTTTCGGTGGGAGTAACGACGGCTGCGGTGGCGGCGGAGGTCATTTGATACGGTGTGTGTGTATGCCCCTTCAGCCCCTCTCATCGTACCGGCATCGCTCCACCGGGTTTTCGGGGGCCCCCGCGCCGTCGACATAGCGCGTTTGCCGTTCGTGTCTGTACTCTGTTGCCGCTGCTGCCAGTGTTCCCGTCGTATCGAACCGCATATACCGCGGCGCACACACGCCTGGTCGTATAATAAACGTTATTTTTCTTTCCCCACGAACAGCGCTCGCTATATACTACTCAACTACACTGTATACAGCATTCGGTATTATTCCGGCGAGCGGGCACACGGACGCTCTGTTCGCTTAGTGTTATAATAATAAGGTTTCGTGCTGGTTGCGCGTTCGTAATTTTTTGTTATTAATTTTTTTTTTTTTTTATACACATCAATTTATAATTTATTTCGACGTTATAGCCATCCGTTAGAAATTTATACGATAATTCAGGCATGTGATAGTAGTACAAACTTACCCGTATTTTATGGTCTAACCAGTAGAAATTAAAAATAAACAAATTTCGAAACCAACGACAGTTATTTAGTGATTTGTTAACGTTCGAAAGTCACATTTTTTTTTTTACTAAATTATTTAACGAACAATGGTTATGGATACAGCGACTTTTTTCGTCGAGGGTACGTCTAACCAGTTCGAGCATGTTCTCGGCTTGTACCCGCAAGCGTTGCGCGTCAAGGCGGAGAGCAAGACGAAAAAGCCCGAAGAACTCATCAAGCTGGACAACTGGTGAGTAAATAAAATATTTTACATTAATCAGTCGGCCGGTGCGGCGAAACGTTATTGTATGATATAGATAACGTTGTTGTGGGGTGGTGTATTTTTGGTATTGCCGCGGTGTTTCCGGGATTTTGCAATTGCATTCGGTACGCTCTGTATACGTGTTACGTGCGTTAGGTTGGTATGAGGCAGTCGCCCTGCCGCCGCCGCTATGTAACCGACCGAGGCCGTGATGACGTTAACGATTTCTTTGTGGAGAAAACGTTCCTGTAGCCGTGTAATGGTGTTTTTAGAGCCCATAACAATTTCTGAATGTGTGGCAATTGTTGGAATATAAATGCATTATTTATATTTTTTATTTGATTACGACTTTTTAGTTAAATCAAATTCGAAATATTGTATGTCAAATATTTACACACGACATTAGTCTATTGGAAGCGGTCAAACTCACGACGGGTTTCTATAGAAATTCCGAAATTATGATAATGACTATCGGAGACTATACAGCGTGCTCGTCTTTTTCCCTCGTGGTCTCTAAATTTTTAATTATCGTTATTTCACTTGAATAGTATTATTTAAGTGAAGAATAATATATAATTGTGTCATGTGCACTTTTATTTATTTGTAGGTATATTCACTTATTAGGAATATTAAATATTCCTAATAAGTAAATTAACTTAATATTAATAATAGTACACATATAACGGTAAATATATATATTACATAATTAATGAGATTGCTGTTGCCCTTGTATTAATTTTTTATTTATTTAGGGATGTTTGAAAACTGTTATTATTACATTTTCTTTATTTTTCAAAAGTATCATTGAATTTAAATACGGGATTATAACTTAACAAATTTTATTAAGTACGAAATGTCTTTGTGACATTTACATAATTAAGATAACGTTTAATTTTATATAAATGTTTATATACGTTATTTTTAAATCTTATCAGATTCCACGAAATTTATTATTACTTTTTAAATAAATAAATTAAAATCCAGATATATGGTAGTAATTTAATTATTTGAATTTTTACTAAAATTGTGCTTACATTATGTTTTATAAAGTAAACATGCTAAAAACTATGTATTCATCTATAGAATTTTCTATTTGTTTACTTAACATTTTGACAATTATATTAATATTCATTTCACTAAATTATATTAAAATATATATATATATATATATATGTCTTAATAGGCATAAATTCATATGTTTGTAAATATTGTCTGAAGATTATCACTGATGGCCAATTATTGCATGACTAATAATTTAATCAATAAAATAGTATATAAATAGATTATAAAATATGTGTTTATAATCCAATTATTATATTCATATAAATTAGATAATTGAAAGAAAATGTCATAAGTAATAATTAATAGTAAGCTATTTTTTTTTACTTTTGTGTATAATCCATATAATCCATAAAATTGTTTAAATATTTTAAATTGATTTTGTTAGCTAATTTATAACATTTTTAAATGCCACTTAAGCCTTCTCAGATCTAAAATTTAATTAGAATACTTTGATTATAACAAATTTAAATTTGTCATTAGAAAACTGAACATTTATATTCTAGTTTTTCTACTATAGTAGTCTATCAATAATTACTAAATTAAATTTATAATCTGATAATATTACTAGAATATTCTTATGTAAAATTATGATTATATTTTTTTCTAAAGGTACCAGAATGAATTACCTGGAAAGATTAAATCAAGAGGTAAAGATGCACATCTAAATCATGAAGAAATATGTCAAATAATGAGATGGAAACAAACTGTAAATAATTATATTTCTAAAGTATTAAATTATTATATAGGTGTTTTATTTATTTTACACTATTGTTTTAGAGAGGAAAAACTTATCCTCAATTAAATTATTTAATCAAAGTCAACACACCCCGTGCAGTTATGGCAGAAACCAAGAAAGCTTTCAAAAAACTACCCAACTTAGGACTTGCTATTACAGCTTTAAGCAATTTAAAAGGTGTTGGAACAACAATGGCTTCAGGTTAGTGTTATGAGTCTTGACATTCTAATTTTTACTAAATTATTATAGGTATTGTATTTATCATATCTTATTGTCTAAACTAATTTATCAAATATTATCTAGCTCTTTTAGCTGCAGCTGCTCCAGATAAGGCTCCTTTTATGGCTGATGAGTGTCTTAAAGCTATTCCTGCTATTGAAGGCATTGATTATACTGCCAAAGAATACTTGAATTTTGTTTCTCATATCCAAAGCGCTTGTGAAAGACTAAATAGTGAATGTAAGTTGATATCAGTTAAATTAAACTTAATAACTTTAATGTAGAACTATGATTTTAATCATATTATCCACAAATAAATGTACTAGAAATTTGAAAATATTTTTATGTAGCTAAGCAATGAGGTATTTTTTATTAATGCCTTATATAGTATGTTAAAATATTATAATTATTCTTACTGCCAAATTTTAATCTATGAAAATCAAAATATAGTTTTATTTTTATAATAATAACTTAACATATAAACTAAAATTAAAATTCCTAATATTTAATATACCATGTTGCATAATATGTTTTGAGTTAAAAGGTATATTAAATCTTAAAAATTTGAATTTATACGATAAGTTATAATTATAAAAATAAAAGATAAAACTGTACTTTGAATTTTATAAATTAAAATTGAAGTTTAATATCACATTATATTTTTTGTTAAACAACTGGATAAATGTTAGATTGTGTTTTTAATATTAGTTTTTATTTATGTTGGTTAAAATTAAAAAATTTTCATGTATTTCAAAAAATAGGCAGTGAAAGAACTTGGAGTCCACATTCAGTAGAATTAGCACTTTGGACACATTATGTAGCTAGTGAACTGAAACCTGAACTTTTATGTAATGTACCAGAAGCTCCTAAAAAACCATTAAGTGAACCAATTAAATCTGAAACTCATTTAAATGGAAATGCTAATCAAATAAAGGTAAATATTTTATTTTATGTTTATTTTCCTTCTAATATTAAACTAAATTTTTATTTCAGTTGGATGAGCAGGTCTCTGATGAAAGTAACCCATTACCTCCATCAAATGGTCATCAATTAGCTATAGAAGATGATTCACGTGATAAATCTGAAGATGATGTTACTAATGATTCTATATCAACATCTGAATCGGCTCAAACTCCATTAGTTGAAGCCCTAACAGAAGATTCATCCAGTTTGCCAGCACCTGATGAACCTCCAGTAAAAAAATTTAAAAATGAGGGCCAAACGGTGGCTGCTGAGGCCAATGGTAACTAATTTGGCTCAATTGTCACAATGAAACCAAATGGATCACCATAGAATTTAAACTTCAACGGTGGTTAATAATGGAGAATAAAATTTTAGAATTTGACAATGGAAACTCCAACATTTTCAGACTTAATGTAATTATTAATTGAAACATACAGTTTTCGAGTTTGTTAATTCAATACTTCAATGAAACTTTTTTTTATTTATTCATTGAAAAACGTAAATATATTTTTTTTATACAACAAAATAAATTAAGCCTTGTAATATTCTAACTTGTTTTATTCAATTGATAAATTTATTATATGTCAACTGTAAATATGATTAATAATAATTATATAATATATTTAAGTTATTTGGGAATAGAGGGATGTTTGATTTGTATGTGTTTAAAAAGAATTGCACTTAGAGGGAATACTTTTTGAAGAAAATCAATTAAATTTGTTCATGATTAGAGGTGGAATTTGAGTATGAATCAAAGTGTTTCAAAGACAAACATTTGAAACAATGTAAACTTAGTATTATTATGTCTGTTCTGCACCGATATTAATGAAATAAATTGACTACAATGCATTAAAGCCATTGTTAAATTTATGTACTTAAATGATGATACTGCCTTCTAGTAATTTTTTTTATAATTTTAATTATTTTAGCTGTTTTTTAAAAATAGTACAAACATTTATTTACATTCCGAAAGATTGAAACTATTGTTTTATTTTATTTTATAAAGTTATAAACAGACAATTAATGTTAAAATGAATATTTTGTCTGTTTGATATATTTTATTTTTAATGGAAATAATGATTTTTTATTGTTCTTAAGTGTAAAACATAATTTTTGTTTTGTTTAAAGATGACTACATTTTAATATAAAAATTATTAGTAATGCAGCATGATTTTTGTGTATATTATATACATATTTAATGAGTATGTTTTGTGGTAACAAATAAAATATGTAATGCATAAATGTATTTTTATCATTGATATAATTATTTTAAAATTAAAAACCTAAAAAAATCGATACTGTTTAATTATTTTGTATTGAAAAATATTGATTCTAAAACTTGAAAAAGCTGTAAAATATATTTATTTAGCATTAACAATCATCAGAAGTCTTCAATGAAATATTCATAAGAACATTTAAAATTGAGAAGTTCTATAATGTGTGTTATATAAAAAAAACCCATTTCTGTATTATGAAATTTTAAAATGTATTATGATTTTAAATATATAAAAAAAAAATGATTAATTAATTATTACATACTTAAGAATTTGATTGGGTTTAAATAAAGTGGAATGCAAAAAATAGGCATTTAAGGGTAAAACTGCCCCAGGTATTGGATATTTTTAAAATCTACTAAAAGGCAAGTGTTAAAGTAATCATTAGTACTGCAATACAATTCTGTAAGTTTTGCAATTGCACTTTTTTTTAGTTAGATTATAAAAATATTAAGTTTGCTTTTACATTGAAACTACTTTGATGATTTTTTCATTATTATATAAACATTGTACATCTATTTTAATGATTGATGGATTCAAAAAATAATACTATTTAAGAAATTACAAATCTCGTTTGGGAATATATATATTGTAAAATAAAATGTTACGTAGATAGCGCTATGGCTTCAGAGTTATCAAAAGTGTTATCATCCGAGACCGCTAAAAAATAATTCGTGTCCTGTTTACAAATTCTTATCTATGGACAACATCATAAAATCATTATTTTTATTCGTTAATATATTTTGTACACGTCTGAATTATGAATATTCTTCAAAAGTGAGAAGTGATGATACAATCTTTTTAATTTAATTGTAATATTATCAAATTTTATTTAAAAATAATATCAATATAAGCCTTGCTGTACAAAAATTCTCAGTGTAAAACTTTAAAAGAAACAATGATTCCCGGAAAATTTTGCTTTATATTTATTTTCATTTGTTGTAGTTTTGTAACTACATCGGTTGTTGGCCAAACTTTAGAAGTAGTTAATGACGATGAACTATTGGAACTATTTCGAACAGAAAACTATGTTCTTGTTCTTTTCTGTATGTATACATATCAACAATTTTTAATTATTTATTATTAAATTTTTCATAAATTTTATATACAAAATTAATTTTAGCTCTGAAGGATTGTGAAAAATGTAAACTGTACGAAGAAACTTTGATACAAATTAGAGAAGAGCTTGTTGATGCATTAAGTGCTTGGGTTGTTAAAGTAGATGGCAGTAATTTGGTGCATATATATGATCCAACCAAAGAACCAGCATTAATCATGTTCAGACATGGAGTACCATTGTTAGTGCCTGAGTTAGGTAATATGTAATTATTATATTTTTATATTATATTAATTATAATATAATATAATAAAGCTAAGTAGACAGCCTACTTAGCTCAGTCGATAATATGTCATGTCTCGGTTCTTAAGTATCAGAGTTCAATTTAGTTATGTTGTGAACTTTCTCATCCTCACTTTCACAAGTAATAGCTTTTGAGAGAATATCAAACATAATTAAAGAAAAAAAATTTATATTATAGTATTACTCCCCTGTGAATAGGGGATAAGAATACTTCCATGGCACTTCTGTTAGTCATAAAAGCGACTAATGAGATTATGTTCGGTCAGCAGCCTGTGTTTTAGAGAGAGATAGATAAGATGATGCAAAGAATACCGGGTAATGGGGATACGGCGATAGGCGGAGAAAAAAATGGACAGGTAATAAGAGGAGAGAATATGAAAGAATACAAGAAAAGTATGATTTAGTGGAAATAATGAGGCTGGAGAAAAAGTCCTGGATTTTGCAGTATCGTGTAATCTTGCTGTGGTTAATGTTAATTTTAGAAAAAGAGAAGGATATTATATAAATTATAAAAGTGTAAGTATTAAATCACAAATTATTTATTTTATTGAGAAAAAAGAAAGTTTAAAGTGAGTAAAAAATTATAAAATTATTCCAGGCGAGAGTGTAACTACTCAATATAGACTGATAGTAATGAAGTTGTGGTGTAGTGGGAAGAGAGTATACAAAAACAGAAAAATACATGAGGAGAATCGAGGATTTGGTAGTGGAAATTGAAAGGGGAAAAAGAAAAAGAATTTTTAAAGACGGTAAAAAGGAGAATGGTTTGGAATGTCGAGGGAGACATAAATGATGTGTGGAATAGATTTGCTAGTTCTGTAAATAATACAGCAAAAGAAATTGTTGGTATGTGTATGTGTAAAATACCAGGTAACAAGAAAACTTGCTGGTGGGATGAGAACGTTCAGAAAATCATAGAGAGTAAGAAAAAGCAATTCAAAGTATGGCAAAAGAGCAAAATGAGAAAAGATTGGATAAAGTACAAATTCTTGTGTAAAGAAGCCAAGTGTGCAGTAAGCAGGGAAAAGTTTAAGAAGTATGATAGGCTAGAAACAAAAGAAGGTGAAAAAAAAGTTTATAGACTTGCAAAATTAAAAGAAAAATGTATAGTGTATAAAAAGTGATGATAAGTGTGTGCTAACGAATGATAATGAAGTAAAAAAAAGGGGATAGAGTATTTTGAAAAATTACTGAATGAGTATCCAAGAGAGACATTAGGAGATATCTTATGGAACGAGGGTTTGGTAGATTTAATTAGTGAGAAAGGGGTATAGTAGGCTGTGATATCAATAAAAAAGAATAAAGTCGTAGTACCAGATGAAGTGCTAGTAGAAATATAGAACAATTTAGGCAGTAATCTTCAGTGAGCATAGTAATAGAAGATTTTAAGGTTAGAGTAAGAGTGCACCAAGGTTCTGCTTTAAGTCCTCATATATTTTCTATAGTGATAGATGAAATTACTAGAAAAATATAAGGACAGGTACCATGGTGTTGTTGTTTACTGATGATATAGTGTTAATAGGATAAAATAAGGAAGAAATTTATTTATTTATTTATTATTAACTTTACAAGCAATAGCCCAAAAAATACAATATGTATTTGACAGCAAATTGATCAACTTAAAATTATCATATAACTAAAAAATGTGAACATTAATAAACAAATCAAATGAATCAATAGAAATTAATCAAAGGCTAGAGGTGTGGTGATCAGCTCTTGAAGTAAAGGGATTAAGAATAAGTAGGAGTAAGACAGAGTATATAGAGTACAAGTTTGACAAAGGATAACACTTTTTGACAATATTATTCTAGAAAATGGATCATTAAATCTTGATAAAACATTATTATTAATTACCTTATATTCCAAAAGTTCACTAGTAGAGTATTGGTATCAATCTTTATGGTATTATTTACTAGTTTTTTTTTATACATTTTAAGTCATTTTATAATTTTTACAAAAAAAAAAGTGTTCTTAAAAATGTATAGAATTATTTAAAAAATTGTAAAATACAAATGCTAAAAAATTGTTGTAGCAAACATTTTACCTTTTTGTGATCGTATGATTTAAATAGAATATATATTTTAGCTTTTATGTATTGTAGTTACCAAAGTAAAAATTTGTCTATATTATTTAAATTTGCCTTTTTACTATCATGTATTTCATATTTCTTTATACAATATAAAATATATTAATTTTTTTAAATATTATTACAGAGGCAATGGACTATGATTTATTGCTGGACATATTACTCAATAATAGAGATCCCGTTGTCAAAGAACTTGATGATCACAGTTTTGAACATCTTACTCAAGCTTCAACTGGTGCCACTACTGGTGATTGGTTTATTCAATTGTAAGTATTAAATAAAATAAATTAATACTCAATACTTTATTGATAATGTATTGTATGATTATAGCTCAGGCAAATTATATTCATGTGCATATGCATTATTTAAACATAAAACACATTTTTATACGTTATAATTAATTTAATATTTGTACTATATTCAATTTATATAGATATAAATACAGCATATTTAAAAACATATATTATTACCTACTCAATCCGAAATAAATTACACTAATTTAGATTAATATTTAAAAAAATATATATTTAATTTTAAATTATAAGATCAATGAAAAGTAAAATTTCATTATTATTAAATTTTTTATATAAACAATTATACTTAAAGGAAGAAAATAGTTCTTATCTAATTATTTATTTTTATATTTTAGCTACTCATCCGATAGTATTGAATGTCAAAGATTGCAAGCACGATGGGAAACTGTTGGTGCTAAATTAAAAAATCGTATGAATGTTGCTCGTATAAACAGGCATGGAGCTGGGTCAATGATTGCTCGTCGTTTTTCAGTTAGCCAGTCTCCTACATTTATACTGTAAAACAAATTTTTTTTGCTAAATTTAATCTATTAAATTCAATATTGATTGCTAAATTATGTGATTTTAGTATACGTCGTGGTGCATTATACAAGTACACATCATCTGAATATACTATAGATTCATTTATCAAATTTATTGAAGAAGATTATAAATACACAGTTAAAGGAGAGATACCTCTTCCTAAATCTCCTTTGTATGTTTCTTATTTTGTATTTCTGTTTTATCTTAATTAAAATTACTAATTTTCAGGGACGATTTTGTACACTTGTGTTTTGATATGCTCAGGGAAAACCCTCTTATATGGAAACTGGGATTGGCAGGACTCAGTTTAATGCTATTAGGACTAGCTGCTTTGAGAGGTGGATCAAAATCTAAAGAACATAAATTAAAAAAGAAATCGTCTAAGAGCTCGAGTAAAAAATCTAAGTAAAATGTAAAGAGTTAAATTACTTTTTGTGTAACTATTGTATACTTTTATAAATAATATTACAAAAACCTTCAATAATTTATAGTAAAATTATTCTATAGCAACAAATTGTTTAAATTTCTTGTTAGAATTGTACATTCTAATTGTTGTAAAAATTATTTATTTACTCATGTTTAATATGTGAATAATATTTAACTGATGTCTATAGTAAATAATTTCAAATATTTATTAGAAAAAATAATTTTTTTTTAATTTTAAAATATTGCAGCCTTATAGATGTCTTAATAATTAACTAAATTTCAATTGAGATTTTTTTTTTTATTATTGTTTATGCAATGAATATTTTTGTACTTATGTTTTTAAGTATTACTTGTATATTAAATTTTATAAAATTAATTTTTTAATTTTATTATTTTTAACAAGAATGTTACCATAAAATCATTATTAAAAATAATATATATGTGTTCAATAGTTTATTCTGAATATGATATTATTACAAAATTCCTTGATACAGCTATTTGTTTTTTAAATTTCATAGTGTAATATTATGGTATAATTATAAGATTTATAAACATAATTTTCATGATTTTTCATATTATTCTCATAATTTAATAGAACAGAAGCCAATTATCATCATCTTCTTAGCTTCTATCCCTACTTTGGGATCAAATATACGATTAAATACACTGTTGACCTGACTCAACTTCACTGAGGCTGAGAAAATTTCTTTTTTCACAAATGCCATTAGACATTGCTAATTTTTTTAATATTTTGAATAAGTTGATAACATGAATAAAATATATTATGTTATTTTTTAAATTATAATGATTTATTTAAAAAAAGTATATTTTAATACAATCATTGGTATAATGTTAGGTCATTCTAAATCTGAATGAATATATTTCAAAATATGGTTATCTATTTGTATTTCATACAAATAGATTACATTTCTTTAAATTATATCTGATAGGTAGTTATTGTTTGATTATATTATATTTTAATATAGGAAATAATATAGAAAAACAACCAGTACAGAGAAAAGCGGATTAGTTGGAACCATCTATACTTGATAGATGATATCTGATATTGATTAAAATCACAATGCAAATCTGTGGATAGCGTTTATTTTTTAGAAGGAATTGATGGATTATTTCAAAAACAACATCAATTCCTATTTTCTTAATTATATCTGTATTACAAGTTTTATGATTTATGAGTATAATTCACGAATAAATATTTATTATAATAATTAAATTTAGTATGAAATTCATATTCAATATTTTAATATTGTGATTTTTACGGTGGAATAGTAGAGTAGTTAGTATATTTTGTTACCTCTATAACAACTGTATATAAAAATAATTTTGAATGCATACTTATACGCGTTGTAAGTATTTATTTCGATCATAAGTCATTGGTAACTAGAATCATTTTTTTGTAAAAAAAACAGCTCCTTCCTTTAATATAAATATTAGATGGACAACAAAAGCTGCAAAAATCCTCTCTGCAAATGTTTAAAATTAATATTTAAATTGTATTTATTATTATTAAGTATAGGTAAAAGTAAGTTAAACATAATAACATGAAATACGGTGATAATTTACATAAAAATAACATTTTTTGTTTGTATTTAAAAACAAGATCCGTTTACTTATACAACAATTAAGTTGTTGGGACTTTTTTTTTTAACTAATAGTATGTAAAATAGTCTAAAGTAAAGCCTATGTTACATATGTTTTCAGACGGAGTATTTTTGTAACATTTGCAGAAGTTAAGTTGAAGAGATTAACTTTTTGTGTAAAAGTTGCTATTTTTAATCTTCTCTGTGGCAGAAAAAAAAATATGTACCTAACAAAGGGAAATAACTAAGATAATTATAAAAAATATATATTATGATTTATGCATTATTAAAAAAACTATTTCAGTTTTAACTAAATAAAATATTTAAAAATTTCGAAAATTACAAATATTTGTGTTTTTTGGCGTATTATTGAAAAAACTCGGCCAGTGAGACCTGGACAGGAACGTATTTAGAACTCATTTTATAGGGTGACACAATTTTTTTAGTTTGGTTAGAATGCTAGAAATAATTATATTACTAAAAAGCAAAAATGACCAATAGTTTTTAGATCTAAATTTCGTAAATATCGACTTGAAAAAATATCGATAGCGTTGGTCTTGAAAGGACGATTTCTTCTTACACTCCCCTTAAATACGACCCTGCCCTAAAAAAAAGTGGTGGCACATACAAAAATAGAAAGTAAACACATCTTATAAAATGAATCGGTTATTTCAAAAACGACATATGTCATCAATTTTTCAATAATGACTTTTTGTCAAATTTGATAATTATATACCTGGCTACGTATTTTGTGTAAAAACTACATTTGTCAGACTCATATTTAATTCAAAATTTACTACAAGAAACTAGAATCACTGCAAAAACTACACAATTCATTGATTTGTGTAGTTTTTGCTGTCATTTACAGATCGCACTTTTTGATTTTATGCAAAACTTACGACTACCAAACATACTAGTATAAGACATTTTTTATTTAAGACAATTATGGGTGAATTTTTTTGGGATTAAAAATTTGAAAACTGAAGAATCTACATTTTACATGTACCATGAGGGTGAAGCTTGCAAGAGGTCCAACGATGTGTGCTTTATGTTACTGGATTATATAAATAATAATATTAATTCAAATATAAAAGAATTATATTTGTTTTGTAATGGTTGTCCAGGCCAAAACAAAAATAATACCGTTATACGATTTTTGCTACAATTGCTACTATTGATAGATAGTCAACGATTTGAAAGGATTTATCACTTTTTCTTTTATATTTTTACCTAACGATCGAGATTTTGGACTTATAAAAAAAAAAAAAACGGTAGCACAGTGGGGTCGAGGCACAGTGTGGACGAGGCATAGATGGGACAAGTATAGATGATATCTGACAGTGATTAAAATCACTATCATAAGAAACGCTTCGATGCAAATCTGTAGATAGTGTTTCCTTTAGAGAAATTGGTGAAATATTTTAAAAGCAACATGAACTCTTATTTCTTTAATTATATCCTGATTAGTAGTTCTTTGATTTTAAAATATAATATATGAATAAATACTAATTATAGTTTTTAAATTTAGTATGAAATTGTGAGGCCAGCTATGATGTATGGTTCATAGTGTTGGGCGGTTGATAAGAAAGTAGAGCAGAGAATAAGTGTAGCAGAGATGAGAATGCTTAGTTGGATGAGTGGAGTGACTAGAGAAGATAGGATAAGGAACGAGCATATAAGAGGAAGTATAGGTGTTGCGTCAATCGTGGATAAGATGACAGAAAATAGACTTAGATTGTTTAGTCATGGTATGAGGAAAGAAGAATCGAAAGCTGTAAGAACAGTTATAGAAATGAATGTTGAAGGAAGAAGAGATAGAGGAAGACCAAAAAAGAGATGGAGGGATGCTATTGAATGCGATTTGAGGACAGCTGATGTGAGCGTAGAAGATGTGGGAGATCGTGTCAAGTGGAAGCTTAGGATAAGGGTGGCCGACCCCAAGTAGTTGGGATTAAGGCAAAGAAAAAGAAAAATATTACCAGATATTCCGGTGGCAATTGACATAATATGATTGTTATTTCGGAATGTACAATTTAGCGTTTAGTTGGGTTTAAATAATATAGCGTCAAATCAATTACCTACTCTATCGGTTGTATCTCAATATACACTACACTTTAATGATACAATAAATAAATAAACTCACACATACACACATATGCATTTATAACATTGTGTCTAATGTAAGTATAACATGATAAAAAGTAACCGTAAAATGAAAAAAATGGAATATAAATTTTATTACTCATATTAAATGTAATGTAACTCGAAAAATATTTGTTTAAATGAAAAAATATAAGATTATATTTTTATTTATAATTGTCTTTTAAACAACTTTTGTGCGAAACTTTTTTTTGTAAGTTAAATATTTTTTTTTGAGAAAATTAAGAAAGCTCATATTTTTGAACTTTTGCGAGGATTTAAAAAAAAAGCTCAATTCCAATCTTGAGGACTATTAGTATGTCATTATACATATTTTAATTCAACTTTTAAAAAAACAAAATTTTTTCCGCAATTTTTCCTTTGTTGACAGGCCTAGATGTCAATTTTAAACTTGTAATTGAGCTAAAAGTTATGGTAATATATTCAATTTATTTTACTATAAACTTTCATAAATCTTTATCAAAAATTTTTCATCAACTTTAAAGAACCAAAAAAATAGGTTAAAATTGAAAATTTGGACTGATTATTTTTAACATATTAAAAATCAAATCAGTAATAATTTGAAAACAAATTTTTTTTTCTTTTAATTATTATTTTATATATATAATTAGTAATAATATAAAAAATTAGAAGTGATAGAAATAGTCTACTTGCAGATTTGAAAACAACGCGAAAATTTGATTTAGAAAAGTATATTTTTGCTTCTGATGAAAGTTCCTTGTAGTCCAGTGCATTTTTTTATAGTAACAAACAGTTTTTATTGAAAATTATTGTATCAAGCCCTTTAAATTTTTATACACGTAAAAGTAAAGCAAAATATAACTTCTTTATTATTTTTATAATTTCTCCGTTTAAATTACAATATTAAATATCAATTTCATACTAAATTTAATAATTATAATTAGTATATATTCATATATTATATTTTAAAATCAAAGAACTACTAATCATGATATAATTAAAGAAATAAGAGTTGATGTTGCTTTTGGAATAATCCACCAATTGCCTAATTAAAACAAAAAAAAAAAAAGTTTGTTGGGAATTTTTTCTGCTATTCTGCAAAATTACTCCTTCGTTGACTAGAATGAATCATTAAATAGAAAATTTTATGAGAATTAAAACAATGTTATTTTTAAGATTAATATGCAGTCAGAAAGTTTTATAATTATTATTTATTGTAAATTTATCAGAAAAACTCATTATTTTTTGCATTTTTATCGTAATAGAACACTTAAATAGAAATCATAGTAATCATTTCTAAGTAATTTTTGATATTTAAAAAGATTCTACTATTGAAATATCCAGAACTGAATTAATTTTAATGATT